AACTAGATGGTAGAGGCCTGCGCTGGATGCAGATGACACCGATCTGAATTGCCTCCGTGGTAGGCGAGGGCTCACGCTCAAACCTTCGAACCGCCGAAGTCTGTTTACACTCGTTTCTAGCACAGAAAGACACAGATCAAAGCACAAGAACACCGACATGCTCATTTCGCTCGGCCGACGATCGCACACGGGACCGACGCTAGCATAGCCGGCCGGCATTCGCTGGATTTGTCGGCGTCGCTCGAACTCGGCACGAAACCGCGTCACGCTGGTAGCACTCCCAGTCGTTCGTCGTTTCGTTGTCGTTCTAGATTACGAAGCGGTCATTCAGGAACGTTTGGAGTAGTTTTCATGCTTGCTTTCAGCACTCGGCTGTGCCTTCGAAGCGGTGGCCATTAGGCACAGCACTCGGAGTCATCGCGGCCTCTGGTTGGTTGGCGCCGCTGTACGCGTGGTAACGTAACGTACGCGAGGCGAAATATCAAGCCCGGCTTGATCCCTCGCGCCTGCTCGCGTATGCCCCTCCAACGTCGACGCCGAGAGGCGCATTTGACGCTTTTGACGCGTAGACGTGAGCGTACGCGTGCCAGTGGCTGGCACTTATGGCTTCAATAGTTTGACATGACCGTCGTCTATAAATCTGGGAAGAGGCACACCGACGCCGACTGTCTCTCACGGTCGCCAGTGGAAACTGTCGCTCCTGATGACGAAAACATCGACGCGGCATTCTCGGGAGTTGTCGACATGGCCACTATTGCACGAGAGCAACGCAGTGCCTCTGAGCTGTTACCACTCATTGAATATTTAGAAGGACGACGTGAAGACGTGCCGCGGTTATTTGCTAGAGGACTGCCATCTTTTTGCTTGCGAAACGATGTTCTCTATAAGAACAACTTCTCACCAACCGGTAACCCGCACTTGCTCGTCGTTCCTGCCTCTCTTCGAAAAGAAATTGTGGAAGCGTGCCATGATGAAGCAACGTCTGGTCATCTAGGCTACACCCGAACATTGTGCCGACTGCGATGCAAGTACTATTGGCCAAAGTTACCTGCTGCTGTTAACCATCACGTGTGAACTTGCACCGACTGCCAAAGACGCAAAGCACCTCCCAGTAAGCCAGCCGGTCTTTTACATCCAGTCGAAGCACCAGAAAAGCCGTTCACCCAGATTGGAATGGATTTCCTGGGTCCCTTTCCAACTTCCACAACAGGGAACAGATGGATTATTGTGGTCACTGATTACCTGTCCCGTTATGCGGAGACTAAAGCTATGCAGCGTGGCACAGCACCAGAAGCCGCTCAGTTCTTCATCGAGAACATCGTCCTTCGGCATGGCGCTCCGACAACAGTGATCACAGACAGAGGACCTGCCTTCACCGCAGAGCTTTTGGAGTCGATTCTCAGACTCAGCGGTACAGCTCACCGGAGAACAACTGCATACCATTCGCAGACAAACGGACTGACGGAGCGCCTCAATAGGACTCTCACAGACATGATCAATGTACGTTGACACGGAACATAAAAACTGGGATCAGATATTGCCGTACGTGACCTTTGCTTATAACACCGCTCGACAAGAAACCACTGGAATGACACCATTCAGTCTGATTTATGGTCGCGAAGTCACGACAACATTGGACGCCATGTTGCCGCATGAGTGTGACGACATCCATGTAGACGCCGAAGAATTCACTCAGCGTGCCGAAGAAGCCAGACAGCTCGCGCGCGTGCGCATCTGTCATCAGCAACATCAAGATGCACAACGCTACGACACCCGACACCAGTTTATTAGCTACACACCAGGTGACAAAGTGTGGGTCTGGATTCCGATACGTCGACGTGGACTGTCTGAGAAACTGCTAAGACGGTACTTTGGTCCATACAGCGTCACGCGACGCTTGAACGACGTGAACTACGAAGTTGTTCCCGACACTGATTGTAGTTATAAGCACCAAAAGCATTTGCCCGAAGTTGTGCACGTCGTGCGTATGAAACCGTATTTATTGAGTTAATTAGCTCCCGGCTGCCGTTTTCGTACGACCACTTCATGCGCCTTGTAGAGCACCTAAGTTGCGCTTCGGGACGATGCTTCTTTTGGAGGGAGGCAAATGTCGCGTGCTTGCTCAAGAAAGACGATGGCAGTTGTGCATGTGCCACGAAGGACTACGAAATGGACAAAAAAGAACCTCTCTTGCCGCGTTTCTATTAAAAAACCTACCTGCTTCTGGTGTCTCAGTTTCTGCGGCAAGACCTCTGTTTGACGTCGTGACAATATATATATATATATATATATCTATTATATATATATATATATATATAATATATATTATATATATATATATATATATATATATATATATATATGTATATATATATAATGAGATATAACAGACAGTAATGCCAAGGAATGAACAGGGGAAGTTATTAACATTATTGGAATGTAAATAAGAAGAAAGAAAAGTGGATGAAAAAATTACCAACTGTAAGCAGGAGTTGGTAATTTTTCATCCACTTTTCTTTCTTCTTATTTACATTCCAATAATGTTAATAACTTCCCCTGTACATTCCTTGGCATTACTGTCTGTTATATCTCATTATTATTGTGTTAAAAACACGGAAAAACGAGCCCTTAGGTATACGCTTCTTTCCCATATATATATATATATATATATATATATATATATATATATGAAAATGTATGAAAACAGAAAAACACTCCGGTGCACGGCATCGAACGGGGGACGTTAACCCCTGAGCCATCCCGAAACGCGTCCTTTGCCGGTCAAACGGCAAGCTATTTTAATCTACCACTTACCGCTGCTCACGAGCATCTCGGGGGTGTGGTGTTTTCAGCATTACCAGCAAGATAGCGCAATGAGCGTGGCGGCGCCCGCGCTTTAATCTCGTACGCGTATTTGACACCGCTCAGTATATCCTCCGCGGTAGGCAAGGGCTCACGCTCAAAGCTTCGAACCTCCGAAGTCTGTTTACACTCGTTTTTAGCACAGAAAATCACATATCAAAGCACAAGAACACCGACATGCTCCAGTAGTCTGTGCGATGTTTTCGCTCGGCCGACGATCGCACTCGGGACCGGCGCAAGCACAGCCGACCGGCATTCGCTAGATTTGTCGGCGTCGCTCGAACTCGGCACGAAACCGCGTCACGCTGGTAGCACTCGCAGTCGTCCGTCGTGTCGTTGTCGTTCTAGATTACGAAGTGGTCATTCAGAAACGTTTGGAGTAGTTTCCGTGCTTGCTTCCAGCACTCGGCCGTGCCTTCGATGTGGCGGCCATTAGGCACAACATTCGGAGGCATCGCGGCCTCTTGGTTAGCGCGTGGCTTCTGGTTAGTTGGCGCCGCTGTACGCGTGGTGACGTGGTGTACGCGTAGCACGGCTTGATCCCTCGCGCCTCCTCGCGTATGCCCCGCTGACGCCGAGACGCGCATTTGACGCTTTTGACGCGTAGACGCAAGCATACGGGTGCCAGTGGTTGGCACATTAGAGAAGGGGAGCGACGCTCCCTCGCGCACCCTTATCTCGCGGTGGTGAGGAGGGGAGGATCGTACGTCTTGGCTGGCTTCGGGCGTTACCTGGAACGACTCTGCTGTAGTCGCGGAATCACAAAGGTCACTGCAATCAATGCAGTCTCCCTTTGAGAAAAGCGCGCGCTTTTCAGACACAGTGAAGTAACAAACGAGACGCTTATTCGCGTGCATCCGTACTTGTGAGTGCGTTTCGTGCGTCATTTGTGCGTGAGAAACGCGGAGCACGTTTGGATCTGCTTTCCATTCAGCGCGTGACCTTTCAATTTGTTGCTATCGCGTTCATTGCTTCGTCTTTTCGGCAAAGCTGTTACGTTTTTTTTTTCTTGGTTGCTTGAACAAAAAAAGAAGCAATCACTTACTTCAACTTTAGTTTATTTATTTTCAGCGTTCTTGTACGAGTATGTGTGATGGCCCTCATCTCTTCCCTCTTCCCCCTCTCTCTCCGACCCTGTCAACACGGACATGTTTCTCATCGGGCGAATGGGTAGCCTTTGCTTCAATTTTGGTAACTTCCACTCATCGATCTGTATTATCTATTTATTTACTTTCGCATGCAGCTTTATACAGAAGCGGCACCGTCGCGTTGCAACAACGATGACGAAGGGTTTGAAATATCATACCTTGTAGTTGTTGAGGTAAAACCTAATGATGGTTTGCGATTTAATTCAGATGAGTTCGAAGGCCATTTCTGCAGGGGATTTCTAGTGGAAATCTACATAATGATTCTGAAGTCTTTGATGGTGACTGTGCCAGGAAGTCGTTGTCAACGTTTGTACGTACTATCAGCGTCAAATGAAACCCGAACAGCGGCAAGCCGTCGCTAGTATAGCTAGTATATTGCATGCAGGCACGTAGCTAGTAGGTTTTTTCAGGGGTGGCACCACCTTGATTTCGGGAGGGGCACCCTCTAAAATGGCACAATTTTTTCCTCTCTATGTCATGGCAAAAAAACAATTTTGGGGGAGGGGGGGACGTGCCCAGTGTGCTACCCCTTGGTTACGACACTGATTGCATGCCGTCCATTCATCACGATTGACAGGCGCGTGCATCCTGTTCGGAAGCTCTGCGCATAAATGCGTGCCTGTCCATGGTGATAAGTAAATGCGTGCACTATACCATCACGAAGGCTTGCCGCTGTTCCGGTTCCGTTTGATGCATACAGTGCATTTAAGTAAAGTCATTAAAGCTAATTCTGGGGTATGTAACTCAATGATGTAGGGGTGGCGCCAGAAGAGTCATGGGTGGGGGAGAAGGTAGGGAAGCGGGCAGATGGGTTTTGTCAAAACACAATGCACAAGTTCCCCGTTGGTGCTTTTTCCCTCTCTCCTTCCCGGCCGAGTAAAAAAAAAGAAATCCTGGCGAATGTTGCTTTCTAGGCAGTAACTTTGACGGCACTTGTGTGCATACATGCAAGCACGGGTTTGTACATGCTTTCTTTTTGTTTCCCATCAGGAATTGACACCTGCTGACAGGTCAAACCTGCTTTATGACGCCTTCCAACTAGCCTGGTCCAACCGTCTGTCATATGATGTTCTCTTTAATATGACTCAGTACTTAATACATGAGATGCACCTCATACCATGGTCAACAGCGCATGGATCTCTGCTTGCGCTGACGCATCTCCTCGAAAACACCGAGGTCCGACGACCCATGCAGGCAAGTGAAATTTGTTGGCTATTGAATAGATACAAGCGAGTGATAATCTGAATACACGTTCTTTTTTCTCTTTTCATCTAGACTTATATCCGCAAGTTGGTCGACCCCATTTACAAGACGCTTGGATGGGAAGACGGCGATAAGCACATGAACAAGCAAGTGTCTTGTGTTGAATTATTACTCATTTTCAACTGTTTTATTAAGACACCTCCTGTGATTAAGTTGCTCTGGAGTAAAAATAACATAGAAACTCAACGTATATCACTTTGTCAAAAAAGATCTAGAACCCATTTATGTTATATGAAAATCATATAAATAGTTGTTAAGGAGCCGATATTTTTGTTCGGAGTACCTTCAACCTTAGAAATTTAGTTTTACCGTATTAGTAGCAAATCTATGTTTAGCATCCCACTGTTCGGCTTGCTCGGACGTTGCACGAGTGACGTGATTGGAACGTGTTCTCAGCGAAGCGTCAAGTTTTTCGTGAGGCGTAGGAAAACGTGGGAAATACATAACATATGATTCAGCACATATTTGATGACAAAGCATTATCAATATGCCGTGGTCCAGCTCAACGGCTGCATTCAGTTTTGTTTGCAACTTTTTTGCAGTAGTTTGCAGGTTTGCGTCTGGTAATGCTGAAATTGAATCGTAAATGCTCTAACTTACCGCATAATTATTGCTAACATCGTTAATTCAAAACGATTTTGCGTCAGTTTGAAACGCCCGCATAGATACCATAAAAAATTAGTACCCCACAACAGTGCCGTAACTGAGACTACGTGCTCTCAATTGCATGCCGTTCCTGTATCATCGCGGTAGAACATCGCCGCACGCCGATCACCCAGGCGACCGTGGCTCAAGCTTTGGTGACGCTGAACGAGCCGTTTTCAAATGTGGGAGCCCGCGGTTGGTGAAAAATGAAACGATGCGGATGCTTTGAGCGTGCCCCCCCCCCTCTCTTCTCAGAATGAAAGAGAAGCAATCCCGCCGTAAGCAGCCAAAACCAACCTGAGGCGCCCGACAACAGATCCCAAGAGGGGCGAGGAACAATAGTCCCCGCCGGGACCCAGTTGCAGTCGAGACCCGACTTCGTACTCCGCAAATGTTCTCTGGCGTCGACAATACTCGCTTGGTCTCTGCAAAGCCAAGCGTGGGCGCCTTTCGACGTCAAACCCCAGAAGATATATATTGTACCTGAATGTTCCCATGAGCACTCACCCTTTTACTTTCAAATTAAAATATCTTATATAGAACGCTCGTCACTAATCATCGGTCAGAAGTCCCCCTGCATGCAGGACTTTCAAAGAATACAAGCATCTCGAGTTTCCAAATTTGGTGTACGTAAGGGGTCCTTGAACTATGCTTATCCCGTTAAATGCTGTACATGAGTGCTCAGGCATGCAACTTTCCTGACAATTGTTGGTAAGTGTAACAGGACTGATTAATATGCGTGATTTTTTATTAATTAATTAATTCATTCATTCATTCATTTGAACGACGGTTTCGGCTGGCTCTCATACATGTTTTGCGTAGTCATATCTGTCTTAAAGGGGCACTGACACAAAATTTAGCGGCTGAGATAGCCTCTGGGGTCGATTACCAGGAACATTCGTATATCGTCTGCAAAATATCATGGGTTGCGCGTGACGTCATTTCCGTCTGGAAAAGTAAGCGACCGCCGTGTTTGTCAACATTGAGTCAGGTTGCGCGTGCAGCTTACCTCCGGTTGGGAGCTTGTCGGCGTCATTCGTGCAATATGGCGAAAGGAAACGTGCACGCACTTTGCCCGTCGTACTTCGAAGAGCTTGTGGGACCGACTTGTGTACGTTACCGAGCGAAAATTGAAATTTGCGATGGCTTGATTGATTGATTGATATGTGGGATATAACGTCCCAAAACCACCATATGATTATGAGAGACGCCATAGTGGAGGACTCCGGAAATTTCGACCACCTGGGGTTCTTTAACGTGCACCCAAATCTGAGCACAAGGGTCTACAACATTTCCGCCTCCATCAGAAATGCAGCCGCCGCAGCCGGGATTGGAACCCGCAACCTGCGGGTCAGCAGCCGAGTAAAATTTGCGATGGCAAATCGACCCGTAAGAGCTGCGCATCGGTAATGCTACACCGATCTGCTGCCTTCCGTGACACACGGCGACATCGTCAACTAGTGGTGCTTTCAGCAGGTTATGTCACGCAAATGAAGGTCTGCAAGTCGCTGTACGGCCACAAGTACTTCACCATGCAGTGGATGGGTGAAGGGCATAGCAACAAAGCAGCTTCCATCACAGTGGGTCGTTGTTCTATTCGAGGACAGTTACGACGCCCTTTCCCGGATGAAGTAAAACATGGGCTTCGACGGGGCTTTGTAGTGACGAGTGTGAATCCATGTTGCATAGTAGTGGGGGAAATTTTGGTGTTGTTTGGGAGGCACTAATGCTCTTTTTGAACGCTCCTGCCTACGTCCATGTTCAGACGTCACTGCAGTTGTGCTCGTTTCAGTAGTGTTGTAATGCTTGGTGCATTTTCCTCTCGTGAGTTACGGTTTCGTGGGATGTATACTGTTGATGGTTCATCACGCTCTGGTTTTGCGTCTACGGCAGGAAGTTCAAGCGATGTTCCCGATTCCGTGGACGGCGTGTCCGCTGCGACTGCATCCAGCGTTTTCTTCTCTCGCTTCTTAGAGCGGTGAAATCGCGCTGATGCGGTGGCAGTAGTCTGGTCATAACAGCTGTAGCCCAGCAACTAGTAGGCTCGGTGCTCAGTCGTGGTTGGCGTCGTCCAATAAATTCGCTGGTTAAAAGAAAACACGTTCACATATGTTGCACTGTTAACCTCATTTAACAACACGAGACGCGGCTATTTAAGAGGAAAAGGTCGGCTATACATCGCTGTGAATCTAAGTGGCATCCCGGAGAAAGCGACGCGATCACGTAAGTATAAACGCGGCAAACTTGGACATAACTCGAAAATAACCCTACCTGTGATGAAGTGATGACTTCAGTCACGAATCGGGGTTCAACGTACAAAAACCACTATATGATTATGAGAGATGCCGTTGTTGAGAGCTGCGGAAATTTCGACTATCTTCTAAGCACCCGGGTCCAAGCATTTTCGCCTCCACCGAAAATGCAGCCGCCACGGCCGGGATTCAATTCCGCGACCTGCAGGTCAGCAGCCGAGTGCTTTAGCCACTAGGCCGCCGTGGCGGGTATTATTCTGCATCCCGAAATGGCACAAATAGGCATGGTGAAGCCGGCAGCGCGACCGGAGACCAGATTTCGCCGATGCAAAGCTGCCGACTACGCTTCCAGGCAGCTGCTTAGTTGACAAACATGGCGGTTCACGGTCCTCTCGTTCCCGGATGCGATGTACGTGCAACCCATGTGTTCTATGGTGTCATTCATTGGCAGATTCGGAGCACTTTTGGTAATACTTCTTTCTGCTTCATGAGGAGCAAGTCTTTTCCATTGGCAGATTAAGAGTGCTCCCTGTTTGTCCCATTGGCACATCTGGGGCAGTTCTGTCGCGAAATCTACTCCATGGAGCAACTTTTTCTACTCCGTAAAAGTGGCGGATTTGACTGGAAGTCGCAAGCCCCCGTGCCTTGAAACGGTGCCAACTTTGGGCGCGCCAACGGACGCCGCTCGCGTCGTAGCTCACGTCTTGCTACTGTAGCGTCGCTGTGCGCAGCGTGTCCACTCAAGCAAGAAAAAAAGACGCGCATATCGCGTTCTATTCTGACCTTGCCATTTTCTATAGAGGGAGCGCGTTTGTTCCGTTGGCAGATTCCCGTCAGTTGTCCTGCGCCAGAGTGGAGTGCTCTGGCGCAAAGTTCGTCGGCCACTCCGCATCCGCCAATGGATGACACCATTAAATGAATTTTGAAGTTCGCGTCAGCCCTCGACTCCATTGTGCCATTGACACCCTCGAAGGGGACCTTTTGGGGACCCCCTACTTCCCTCACGTCACCGCGGGAGAGTCTATTTGCATCTCAACAGCTCAGCGTCACATTACCTAAGATTAAATGTCACATGTGATGTCATTGGAAAAGCGATCGGCTTCGACTGGCTACGCCTTGTCAAGTGACTTTGAGTTCAAGTAGCAAAAAAAATCACAGCATATCCAAAGAGTGAATGACTCATTGGTGGGGCAAAGCGTTCGTCAGTCCGTCCATGCTTTCGTCCACCCATTCGTTCTTGCTTCCGACCGTCCATGCGTCCGTCCGTTCTTCCGTCTGTGCGTCCGTGCGGCCGTCCCTCCATCTGGCTGTCCATCCGTGCATTCGCCCCTTTGTGTGTTTGTGCATCAGTCAGTCCGTCCGTCTATCTGTATGTCCGTCCGTCCATCCGTCTATCAGGTGAACACTCCAAGTACAGCCATCTCACATCTTTTCATCATGTAGTCATCATAGACAAGCACCGTTATGCAGCGGACATTCTAAAAAACCGCTCTTTCGGTTATGTAGCACCGGTGGTACAGTGGCTAGAATAGGAAAGTGTGATGAACGCGCCGGCTAGCACGTAACACCTTGGGAGTAAACCGCCAGGTGGCGCTGGCACACGTGCACACGTTTGCACGTGTGCACGTGTGTAAAGGGTACAGCCATATCCATCCATCTATCCATCCACGTGTGCCAGCGCCAGGGAATACACCAAAGCTCACGGGAATACACCAAATCAGGGAGTACAAGGTGATATGGGATGGACATCATTTGAGGGCAGGGAAGCTAGCAGCAAGATAAAATTTGAGAAGCGATTGAGAGAAATGAAGAAGGAGCGTTGGGCTAGGAAGGTTTTCAGCTACTTGTACATGAAGAATGTCGATACAAAATGGAGGAAAGCGAACCAGGAAGTTGACTGGTAAATACTTAGAAAACAGCAGGTGGCCAAACCAAAAAAAACTATCGGTTAAGAAGAAAGTGGAGGAAACGGAGACTGACATGTGGAAAATGGGCATGATTAAGAAGTCCGCACTAGAGATCTATCGAACTTTTAAGCAGGAAATTGCCAAGGAAAGGATCTATGATAATACTCGGGGTAGTTCTCTACTTTTTGAGGCCAGGACGGGAGTACTGCGAACCAAGACATATCGGGCCAAATACGAAGGGGTAGAACAGTATGCAGTGCGTGTGGAGAGGAAGAAGAAACT